AGAAATATGGTGCAAATGAAGGAACACATCAAAGCTCCAAAAATAGAACTACACAATGAACAGATAGACAACCTGTCAGATGCACAGTTCAAAATACTGGTCATCGGGATGCTCACATAAATGGTTGAAGATGGTCACAAAATGGAGGAAAAAGTGAAGGCTATGCAAAGTGAAATAAAAAAATATATACAGGGAGCTAACAGTAAAGGGAAGGAAACTGGAACTCAAATCAATGATTGGGAGCAGAAGGAAGAGGTAAACATTCAACCAGAACAGAATGAAGAAACAAGAATTCAAAAAAATTAGGAGAGGCTTAGGAACCTCTGGGACAACTTTAAACATTCCAACATCCAAATCCTAGGAGTGCCAGAAGGAGAAGAGGAGCAAGAAATTGAAAAGAAAATTGAAAACAAATTGAATTTGAAGAAATAATGAAGGAGAACTTCCCCAATCTGGTGAAGGAAATAGACTTCCAGGAGATCCAGGAGGTTAAGAGAGTCCCAAAGAAGTTGGACCCAAGGAAGCACACACCAAGGCTCATCATAATTACATTACCCAAGATTAAAGATAAGGAGAGAATCTTAAAAGCAGCAAGAGGAGACAGTTACCTGCAAAGGAGTTCCTGTGAGAGTACCAGCTGATTTCTCAAAGGAAACCTTGCAGGCAAGAAGAAGCTGGCAAGAAGTATTCCAAGTTATGAAAGACAAGGATCTCCATCCAAGATTACTGTATCCGGCAAAGTTATTTAGAATGGAAGGGCAGATAAAGTGCTTCCCAGATAAAGTGAAGTTAAAGGAGTTGGTGATCACCAAGCCTTATATGAAATGTTAAAGGGACTTTTCTAAGAAAAAGAAGAAGATCAAAACTATGAACAGTAAAATGACAAGAAACAACTATCAACAACTGAACCTAAAACAAAAACAAAAATAAACTAAGCAAACAACCAGAACAGGAACAGAATCACAGAAACTGAGATCAAAGGGGAGGGGACGGGTAGAATAGGGGAAAAGGTACAAGGAATAAGAAGCATAATTGGTAGGCACAAAATGGAGAGGAGGAGGTTAAGAATAGTATGGGAAATAGAAAAGCCAAAGAACTTTTATGTACAACCGATGGACATGAACTGAAGGGTGAGGGGGAATGCTGGGGGAAGGAGCTATGCAGGGTGGAGGGAAATAAAGGGGAGAAAAAAATGGGAAAAAAATAAAACAATTTTAAAAGTAGTTTGATATTTGGGATTCTATTCAAAATAACAGTGGGGTAAGTGGGTGAAAATATAAATGAAAAAAATAGCTATAAATAAATAATTGCTGGGGGCTAGAAAATGAGTACATGGGAATTTATGATACTATTCTGTCTACCTTTGTATAAGTTTGAAAATCTTCACAATAAAATTTTTTGAAAGAAAAAAATTGTGTATTCTTCCATGTTTAAAATTAAGTCACATTCAAAATACTCTTTATTTGATGCAATACAACCTATCAAGATATTTTTTTCCACTGCTCAAAACAGTTTTCGAACTCATTGATTTTGATGCCTTTTAGTGCTTTTGTCATTTTTTCTTTCATGTCTTCCACATTGGCAAAATGTTTTCCTTTGAGAACTTTTTTCATTCGGGGAAACAAAAAGAAGTCGTTCAGGGCGAGATTGGGTGAATAGGGAGGGTGGGGCACAGGGGTCATGCCAATTTTTTGGTCCAGAACTGCTGAACACTCCTTGCGGTGTGGGCAGATGCATTGTAAGTGTCTTCAAAAAAAATTAACTGAAGCTGAACACAGCCTCTTACAACAATGCCAGCTGGTACACTGATACAGATGGGTTTCTAGAATACTTACCTGGCAGGAGAAGCCTGTACAAGGGGCCTGCCCTCCAGATGATAATTTTGGGGTTTTTTTGGGTCCCCCATCATATATACAATGGTATATTATTCTGCCTTAACAAAGATGAAATATTGCCATTTGTGACAACATGGGTGGGTCTTGAGAGTATTAGGCTAAATAAAATGGAAAAAGAAAAGAACCATATGATTTCACTCACTGGGATATAAAGTAAAAAGCAGCAAATGAACAAACAAAATAAATATACAAACAAACTCATAGACACAAACAACAGAATCATGGTTACCAGAGGGAAGGGAGGTGGGGGTAGGATGAAGAGGGTAAAGGGAATCACATACATGGTGACAAAAGGATGCTAGATTTTGGTGGTGAGCACACAATAGAGTGTATAGATGTATTATAAAGTTGTACACCTAAAGTTTATAAATATTATTAACCAGAGCTATACAAATAAATTTAAAATAATACAGAGGGAAACAGAAAATAAGTCTGATAACATATATAATAGGATCCTAATTTTGTTTAAGGTATACCAGGTGTGTCCAGAAAGTATCCAGCCATGTGCTATTGAAAAATAGAGACGTTTATAGGAGAAGATACAAATACATGAAACATTGTACATAAGAAAATGTTGCCTCAGTCCCCTTCAAAGTAGGCACCTTGGGACCTCACACAGTTCTCCCAACCACCATCTTATTCTCCTGAATCTCATCAACAGCCTGAAATCTCTCCTTTTCAAAGATGATTTTAGTTTCGGGAAAAGCCAGAAGTCGCAGGACCCAAATCTGGGCTGTAGAGGTCTGAGTCACCTGGGTGATTTGATGTTTTGCCAAAAAAACTGTGTACAAGGCGTGATGCATGAGCGGATGCATTGTTGTGATGAAGCTGCCAATCGCCAGTTGCCCGTAGCTGTGGCCTTCTCAATCATCTGAATAGTTTCCTTGGAGGAATGTTCAAGCTTAATGCAAAATTTAATGCAGATCCATTGCTCTACTCACTCAGTCATTTTGAATGCCACAGTCACACAGTACACATGCTCACTCAATGGCATCTACCACCCCCACTGACTGGTACAGTGAAATCATCATTGTTTACACATGCACATTCCTGTCCACTCTCCTTGGCTGCCAGGTTACATCGATGTTGCACCTACTCTTCTCGTTATATTAACAATGGTTGGACTTTTTCTGGATAGACCTCGTATAGTGTATTGTACAAAAAAACAAAACAAAAAAAAAACAAAACCCCAAAACATCGAAGAGATAGTCTCAAAATGGTAACTGGTTTTCTTTAAGTGGTTTAAATGACAGTTATTTTTAAATTTTTTTGTGCTTTCTAATTTTTCCAAACTTTGTGTAGGAATATGTATAATGTCAAACTTAAAAGAGCTCCATACTACTACTCTGTTTCTACTATGCCAGATTTAAGTTCCTCTGGGTGCTTTATAAAGTCTCGTTTAATCTAGCTTTTTCCTATCTAAACCATAGTTTTGCCTCCCAATAGTCACCTTGCTCTTGAACAAGAGACATTATCATATAAATTAAGGACATGTATGATAACTTCTTGGTGCTCTCTCTCATCTTCTGATTTGTATAGTGCCGGAGCCAGCTATGATCAACCAGTGATCAAAAATTAGTAGATCATGACCGACTTCTCTTTCCAAATATATCTACTGGATACTTAGTGTCCTCAGAGTCTGTTAGCAAATCAAAATTGTATTGTTAAACCTGACATAGTACTGCTCTCTTAACATGTTAGCTGATTGTTGTTATTTAGCTGTCTTATTTGCAGAAGTGGGTTTAGGGCATTATAGCTGACAGTAAGAACAAGGTAATGGGAACACAGTAAGATACAGAAAACCTCAACTTTCTATACATTTGAGTAGATTGTTTTCTTACAAGTGAATTTTACGTTTCTTGGGTCCTTAACTTTAGAGATCTATGTAATAATAAACAAAATTGAGTGATTAAAATAAACTTGAGGATTATAAAAATTACCCAAGTGTACTAGTTAGGATTGACTAGGTTCTGGTGTATTAATTTACAACCCCTAAATTGCAGTGACTTAAAACAATGAAGGTTTATTTACTGCTGATATGATAGTCTGATGCAGGTTGGATGACTGTCTTTGCAGTTCTTTTTCAAGCAGTGTCCCGTTTCATTATGTGAAGCCACCATCTTCATATGTAGCCTCTTAAGTTGTGGCAGAAAGTGAAGACAGATTATAGGTGATTTGAACAGATCTTATCACCATACTTGGAAATGTCACATTCAGTTTTACCTACATTCTCATGGTCATAACCCAGTTTTATGGCCCTTAACTATAAGGAAGGCTGATCTTCCACTGTGCCTAGGAAAAATTTAATGAAATAGGATTACATAGCATTATCTCTGCCACCAAAGTTTTAGAATTATAAAATGTGCCACTAACCATATCTTAGAGATAGGTTTTTCTGTTTTTTCTCTCTTTATCTTTCTTCTCTGTAGTTTCCTTCTTTGCTCTCTTTCTTTCTATTGTGTTAAGCTGCCCAAGGGTGGAATTAGTGGTAGTGAGTGAAAAGTTACCTCTTTCCCTGCTGCCTTCATTTCTTAAGGGAGAAGAAAGTCCCAACTCTTAAGTATGTACATTTTTGTTAGTAAAGTCCTGGGTGCAACTTAAATTTTCCCTCTTTGAATATAAAATCTCAACTTGCTGTATCACTCATATTTAGTTTTTATTTAAATCTGAGCCATTTAGAGTAGCATATTTTTATTGGTTCACCTAATCCTTAAATGTCTATATAGATTAGGTGAACCAATCGATATATATTTATGCAATATATATAAAAAGGTCTCACTGTATCTGAAGAGATTTTTTACTTACTCATTCATCAAATCTTAGCTGAGCTCTTCTTATATGCCAGGCACTATTGTAAGTGTTGGGAATATAGTGATGGACAAGATAGAGTTCTTACTGTCTTATATTCTGGTCAAATTTATTGATCACCAAAATTTGTGATGGATGGTATAATATATCAATTAGTAATCACAAATTAATTATATAAGGATTATAAAATTAGGATAAGCATTTTAGGATTAGTGCAATGTAAGTAGATTTATGGTGGTTGGTTTTTAGAAATCATAAAATCAATGGGAATAATAAGGATCTATTTTTTTCTTTTAGTTTTGAAGAAGCCCCCAGTTTCTGTTTCTCAATATGGAAATCATCAAGCAATCTCCCATCATGCAACTGGACAACCCCTCTCCCCAAATATCGTTCCAGGTATGAAGTCTTATTCTTAAATTTTTATTTGAAAACCAATTTCCTGGTCATGTATTGTTATGAAGTGAATAAAATATGTCATTTAACAGCATAGTGAAGTAGAATTTTTCTAGTTAACGTTATATTTATTTTCAAATGTCTGGTAAAAGCCAGGAAGAAGTAATCATTTAAAAATGTACATTGTATCATAGCCAGGTCCTCCCTCTCTTTCTTCCTGTCTCTAAAATCAATCAGTAAAAAAAATTTTAAAGAATGCATGTTGTCTAATACATTACTAAAAGCAGAAGAATTATTTTTTCTGTCATTCTGGAGTACATTCCTTTGATCTCTGTCAGTCTGTGTGTATTTATCTTTTTCAAAATGCATTCAAATTTGTCTCACAGAGGACTTCTATAAATTGCTGGATCCACCTATCTTAAACTCCCTTTTCTATACTTATGAATGTTTTCTGAATACCTATTTGATTTTACATAAATGTTCCCCTAAAATAAGAATGGATATAATTACAATTAATTAAAATAAGGATCTAAATCATGGCTTTGATGAGGAAAAGTGGGGAGGTGGGAGAAAGAAAGGTTATATCAAGGAGGTTCTAATAAGAAAAAAATTATCTGTGGTCAGGTAGCTCAGTTGATTTGATTAGAGCATTGTCCTGATAGGCCATGGTTGCAGATTCAATTGCCTGTCAGGACGCATAAAAGAATCCACCAATGAATGCATAAATAAGTAGAAGAACAAATTGATGTTTCTCTCTCTCTCTCTCTCTTTCTCTCCCCCAATCCCTTTCTCTCTCTCTCCCACCAACCCTTTTCTCTTTCTCTCCCCCTCTATCCCCTGCCTTCCTTTCTCTCTAAAATCAATACATGAAATTTTTAAAAAATCAAGAATTAATAGTTGTAACTATATAGATGAAAGTGACTTAGAGTTTGGAAACTGAAAGCCTTACTGGATTTTGGAGATTTCTGACAGCATTATGTAATTTGGAGAGAGGAAAGAGTCATCCAGCCTGTATCATTGCCATTTTAACTTTTTAGTTTCTATTACCTATCCCTTTGGTAAATAGGTTTATAATCAGTACTGTAGATGCTCATGGGGACTGATTAATAAACTTTACATAGCTAGAATCACATTGGTTGTAAAATTTCATTAAAGAAATTATAATAAATATTAAAAAAAAAAAAGCTGCCTGACTACCCAGTGTCAGATAACAGTGTATCTTAGCTTTTCTAAAGCAGATCTTGTGAAATTCTTCTGCAAAATGTGACCTAAACTTGATGTTTTTCTGTCATAGATTCTCATATAAATCACAATGGAAACCCTGGAACTTCAAAACAGAACCCTCCCAGTCTTCTTCAGCGTTTAATTCCAGGCCCAAACTTGGAAAGTGAGCCCAGAATTCAAACAGTTATACTAAAGCAAGCTACCAAGGATAGAGTTGGTGATTTCCATAAGTTGAAACAAAGTAAGAATCAGTTGATGAATATTATGCTGAAAAAATTTCTTTAAGTATAATATTTGTTTACAAGGCCCAATTAAGATCTTTATTATTATAATCTCTAATGAATGTATATTAAAGCTATTGCATACTAACAGAAAGTATAATGGTGGTAAAATTTAAAAGAAAAGCAAGTTTTAAGTGGATAGAGATTTTAAAGAAGATTTTTTTAAAGCTTCTCATGTTTGCCAGTGTTAAATAATAAATTACAGGTGAGTTCATTTTTAAAAAATGATATTAGTTCTTATGATTAAAATTTTTTTGAGAAGTGAGAAAAATATGTTTTACTAGGCTAAGTGAATGATTATAAGGAGGAGAAGATAAATAGTTTTGAAAAATGGGTTCTGGGAGAAATACAGACCTGGCGAGAGTGCCATCCTAGACGTCTCAGTAGTGCCATAAATAGTGCTGCTTCCTTTTTCATTCCCTTTGATTGCAGTTTACTTCATTTAGGTCTTCGGAGAGAAGTGAAAGAAATTGAACATATCCATAGCACTATGTAAGAAAGTATGAGTGCTTAATTGTTTCAGATGTACTGAGTTTGATAAATGGACAATACGTGTTAATTATAACTCTGGTAGATTCTCAGGAACTTAAAAGAAAAAATTCTGGTAGTAGAGAGCATTTGGTGCGGGACAATTCTCTTAAACCATATGAGACAGCTCCCTTAAACTATACGTTTTTATTGCTTCTCCTTTTCCTGGCTTCTTCCCTTCAACTTCTGAACATACAGAATGCCTAAAAGTTCCAGTTTGCCGTTGTTTGCTTTTCTGATGGGTTCTGTGATCAGAGAAGTGTTTAGGCAGCTATTTGTACACAGGTTGCTTATATGATGAGAACTGCACAGTGTTATATTTAAAAAATCTATCCAAGATATTTTTATTGGTTTTATGACAGTCATTCAGATCTACATGAACATATAGTTTGGATTCATTTAATTGACTTTTCTTCCTTGTCATTTAAAAGGATATCTATGTATTTTGACTGAAGTATTATATGAAAAACATTTATAAGAATGTGGCTAACATTTTAAATACAGTGAAAAAACAATACTTCCTCAAAATCTTGTTGGAATAGTGGCATGAAAACTTTTATCTGCATAAAAAGAGGTTTATAGTAAGGGTATAACTAAATAAAATATCTTAATTTGATCACTTAAGATTTTCTTCTAATCTTATACATTTTATATTTGCCTTACATATTTGTTTATTTGTTTTTTTACCAACCTTTGGGCAAAGAATGTGATTGGAAAGTAATTGCCAGGAAGTTATCACTCTCTACAACCTATTTTTAAAAGAGCCTATTGAGTTTTAAACACTCCAGATTCTTTTCAATTTATATATAGAGTTGAAATCAATGTGAGCACTATTTTGTGATTTACTTCTACATTAATTCGTACATTTTAACCTATCAAATAGTTACATAGTTGTCATTTTAAATGTATCTGTGTATATATGTGTATACTTACACACATACATATATCCTATTAGGCAGTAATAATATTCATTTAATTCTATTCTTTTATTATTTAAATTATTTCATATTCTCTCATATTAGTTGTAATAACTGAATGTCTTTTCTCAAAGTACTTAATGCTTCTTCCACTTTGGGTGTTCTTTTAAAAGTGTATTCCAAACTGAAAATTACTAGGTCAAAGTACTTGACTAGCTTTCTAGGTCCTGTTACGTTTTGTCAGATTATTCTCTAGAACAGTTTCACAGTGTCAGTGGAGATGTTTGAATTTATAGCACTATGGCTTGACCACATTGCTTTTTAATTCCTTTATAAGGAATTAGAATATGTTCCTTAAAAGCACTTAAGAATATGTTCCTTAAAAAAGCACTTAGAATATGTTCCTTAAAGATGTTTTAATAGGCATTTACTTTCTAGAGACCTGTTCATTTTTGTAAGAAATTTTACTGTCATTATTTCTTGGTATATAAACTGTGCATCAGTTTTGACAACTAAGCCTGGTAACTTTGGAAATTGATCCTATGTCTTTGTATCAAATCTTTATAAATAATTCAGATATTCAGACACTGACCTTTTATAAATTATTACCTTTATCAATTTTCTGCTTCAGTTGCCATTCTTGATTTGAACTTTATTTTATCATGCAAAAGTTTTTTATTAAAATAGTTTTTAAATTTTGATAAAATACAGATAAAATTCAGCCAAGTGTTCAATTCAGTGGCACTTAGTTCATTCCTGTTGTTGTACAGTTATCACAACTATCTAATTCCAGAACTTTTTCATCACCCTCAGAGAAAACTCCACCTATTAAATGGTCACTCCCCATTCTCTCCTACCAGTGTAGTCCCTGGCAATGACTAAACTGCTTTCCAACTCTGTGGATTTACCTATTCTGGATATTTCATGTATAGAGAACCACACACTAAGTAGCATTTTTGTCTGGCTTCTTTCACTTAGCATACCATATTTAAGTTTCGGCCATGTTGTTTCTTTTTATGGCTGGATAATAGTCAATTGTATGAATACACTTTGTTTATCCATTCACCTGTTGACCAAAGCAGCTGCACCATTTTACAGTCCCACCAGCAGTGCATGCGTGTTTCAATTTTCCACATTCTTGTCAATACTTAATATTTCTCTTTTTAAAAAACTATTGCTGTCCTAGTAGGTGGTATCTCATTGTGATTTTCATTTGCATTTTCCTAATGACTAATGACATTGAGCATTTTTTATGTATTAGTTTGCCATTTGTGAAAAATGTGTCTTCAGCTCTCATGCCCATTTTTAAATTGAGTTGTTTGTCTTTGTTCAATTTGAAGTATTCTTTATGCATTCTGGATATAAAACCCTCATTAGATACATGATTTGAAAATATTTTTGCCCATTTTGTGGGTTATGTTTTCACTCAGATAGTGTTCTTAGATACAGAAAGTCCAGTTTATCTTTATTTTTCTTTTGTTATTCATACTTTTGCTCTCATATCTAAGAAAACTTTGCTAAATCAAAGGTTATGAAGATCTCCTGCTATATTTTCTTCTAAGAGCTTTATAGTTTCAGCTTTTATGTGTAGGTTTTTTACCTATTTTATTTAAATTTTTTAATTATTTTAAATTAACTTTTGTATATGATGTAAGGATGAAGCTTTATTCTTCTGTATGTGGGTATTTGTCCCAGCACTATTTTTTTAAATTTAATCTTTATTGTATTCTTTTTCCATTACCAGTTAGTCTCCTTATACTCCCCTCCCCGCAGCAATCACCAATGTCCATGAGTTCTTTTCCAGCGCTATTTGTTGAAGAGACTCTTCTTTTCCCCCATTCAAGAGTCTTGGCATCCTTGTTAAAAATCAGTTGACCACAGATATTTGGGTTAATTCTGGACTCTCAATTCTGTTCTATTCTGACCAGATGATAGTGCCACACTGTTTAGATTACTGTAACTTTGTAGTAATTTTTGAAATTGGGAAGTGTGAGTCCTTCTTTATAACATTTTGACTGCTTCGGATCTCTTACAATTCCATGTGAATTTAGGATCGCTTATTTATTTCTACTAAGAATGCAGCTGGGATTTTAATAGGAATGGTATTGAATCTATAAATTGCTTTGGGGTGTATTCTCATCTAAACAATATTAAGTATTCCAGTCCATGGAAATGGATGTCTTTCCATTTATGTAGAGTATCTTCAGTTTCTTTTAGCAATGTTTCTATAGTTTTCAGTATATGTCTTGTACTTTCTTGGTTAAATTTATTCCTAAGCATTTTATTCATTTTGATGTTATTGTAAATTTAATTTTCTTAATTTCCTTTTTAGATTTTCTTTGCTTTTGGTTTTAAATTCTTTTAATGTACTTTTCTAAGAATATGCTAATATTTAATTTCATTTTAAAGATTTAGAATATCGTATTTTATTTTCATATTTTAGAAATAATAGACATGCATCAGTGTGTAATATATTTTATATATTTGTCATGTATATTAGCATATATATAACGTGTGTATATATATGAAGTTAGTATTTTTAATATGCAAATTTTCTATATCTGTTTTACATCAATTTCATCATTTTTCTTTTTAACTTTTGACACTCTTTACCCATTTCTTCCACCCTTTGCCTCCAGAAACTACCAATGTGTTCTCTGTATCTATAAGTTGGGTTTGTTGTTTTCTAGAGTCCACATGTAAGATCATATGGTATTTATATTTCTCAACCCCTAGTCCCTCGCCACTCCCTATAGGTCAGGGGGAGGGGACTGAAGGTTCCAACATCTAATTACTTGGTCAACTATCGTGGCATTTTCATTAATAACATAACAAAGGACACCTCACTTAGGATATTCCAAAGGTTTTGGAGCTCTCTGTGAGAAAAGAGGATGAAGGCCAAATAATATTTTTTATTACAAATCACAATATCACATATAGGTTTGTAAACTACTATTTTTAATAAGTAGAGCCTACCTTAAAAAAACTAATTTTTCTCTGTTCTTCAGAAGAATTCCACTATTTATCAAGTTCTATAACTAGTCCTTAGAAACTTTAATGTGTATTGAGTTAAATCTGTAAATTAAATTGGGCAAAATTATATTACTATCTTTTGTCCTTATGTCTAAAACTCCATTTATTCATGCTTCATTGTAGTCTTACACTTTTCTTTGAATAAATACCTGATTTCCCAAGTTAAATTATTGTCAAAAGATTTAATTTTTTTTATCACTTAGAAAGGGAACATTTTTTTTCATTGTACTTTCAAGTTGTATATCACTATTATATAGGTTATAATACTATAATTTATCTTTTGGTATTTCTCATTTCTTGAAACTTTAAATGGCTTGTTCATATGTCCAATAAATTCTTTTTATAAATATTTAAAAAGATATACTATCATGGTAACTGTGATAGTGATTATATTTAAATGTTTCTTTTCCAGAGGGTTAAACTGTATTTAGTCATAAAAGAAAGAGATTTTTTTAAGTGTAGTTTCGTCTTATAGTTTTTTT